ATTTGTGTACATGCCCAAATCTCGTGTCAAACTGTAATCTCTAACATTGGAGGAGGGACCTAATGGAAGGTGATTGGATCACGGGGGTGATGTCCCCCTTGCTTTTCTCATGATTGTGAGCTCAAAAGATCTGGTTGTTTAAAAGTGTGTAGCACCTCCCCCTTCGCTCTCTTCCTTCTGCTCTGTCCATGTAACACATGCCTCTTTCCTCTTCAGCTTCCGCCTGTGATACTACAGCTCAGTATCCCTAATGTATTCCGTGATCAGGATTTATTGAGGAATTGATGCAAAATTCCTTTAAAAAATACTACCAAACCAAATTCAACAGCACAGTAAAAAAAAAAAAAATTATACACCATGACCAAGTGGGATTTATACAAGAAATGCAAGGATAGTTTAGTATATGAAGATGAACGAATGCAATAAACCACATTAACAGAATGAAAAACAACCACACGATTATCTCAGTTTACACAGAAAAAGCATTTGACAATATTTAACACCCTTTCATGATTTTTTTTAAAAAATAAAAGCACTCAAAAAACTAAAAATACCTAGAAGGAAATTACCTCAACATAAAAGGCCATATATAAAAAGTCCATAGCTAATATCATGCTCAATGGTGAAAAACTAAAAGCTTTTCCTCCAAAATAGGAACAAGCCCACTCTCACATCTATTCAACATAGTACTAGAGGTCCTAGTAAAAGTAATTAAGCAAGAAATTGGAAAGGAACAAAATAAAATTAACTGCAGATGTCCTGATCTTAAATGTAGCCCTAGATTTCAAAGGATGTCATGAACAGCCTGGGGCAGAGACTTGTTACAGGGGTGAAACCACTGTAGAGAGACCCTACTAGGGCAATGCCCAGTAGAACTATGGGTTCAGAGACACTGCAGAGATTCCCCACTAGTTCTAGAGGAGCTGTGGGGGCAGGGCCATTCCCAAGACCCCAGAACAGTTCTTGTAGAGCTACCAGTGTGTGACACCAGCTTGGGAGAGCTGCAGGCACAAGATTTCAACCTATGAGAGCGTCTCTGTGGACTGAGCCCAGGAAAGCCAGAGAGTGGACTTGCTTAGGATCTCCTCTCTTTTTTTCTGTGTCTCCCATTTGGAATGCAAATATCTATCCTATGACTGTCTCGCCATTGTATTTCAGAAGCACATAATTTAATTTCACAGGCTCAGAACTGGAAATTTGCCTTAGTATGAATAGTGCTTTGAGTCTCACCCATATCTGATTTAGATGACACTTGGTTTTGGAATTTAAAGTTGATTTTGAAATCATTTAAGGCTTTTGGGGATATTGGGATAGGATGTATGTATTTTGTATGTGAAAAGAACAAAAGTTTTGGGGAGGCAGGGGTGGAATGCTATGGTTTGAATGTTTACCCCCTCCAAAACTCACATTGAAATTTAATTGCCAGTGTTAAGAGTTTAAGGAGGCAGGACTTTTAAGAGGTGATTAAGCCATGAGGGCTTCACCCTTGTGGGTGCAACTGGTGCCATTACAAAAGAGTGAGCTCAGTCTCCTCTTGCTCTCTCTTACCCTTCCACATTCCATCATAGGATGACGCTGCAAGAAGGCCCTCATCAGATGTTGGCCCCTTGATCTTGAACTTCCCTGCCTCCAGAACTATAAGGCAATAAATTTTCCACCCTTATAAATTACCATCTGTGGTATTCTGTTATAGCAGCACAAAACAAAAACAATGATTAACATGGTAAATTTTATGTTGTGTTTTTTACCACAATAAAAAAAAGTACTATCACATTTGAGACTTTTTTTTTTTTAAAAAGGAGTGTTTTCAAAAGAAATGAAGCACTAATATATTCTATAACATAGATAAACCTCATGAAAGCATTATGGCAAGTGAAACAAGCCAATCACAAAGACCATGGCTTAGTCCCTTTTGTGCTGCTATGACAGAATGCTATACTGGGAAACTTACAATGAATAGAAATTTATTTCCTCACAATAAATTTCCTCACTCCTTGATTTTGGAGCCTGGGAAGTCCAAAATCAAGAAGCTGATATCTACTGAGGGCCTTCTTGCTGCATCATTCCATGGCAAAAGGGCAAAGAGAGGACAATAGAGAAAGTAAGAGGGAGCCAAACTTGTTCTTTTGAAAGGAACTCACTCTTGTGATAACAGATCCACTCTCACAATGATAGCATTGATCCATTCATGAGGGTGGTGCCCCCATAATCCACTGACCTCCCATTAGGCCCTACCTCCCAGAACCACCTCACTGGGGATCAAGTTTCCAACACATGAATGTTAGGGGACACATTCTGACATGGTTTGGGTCTGTGGCCCTGCCCAAATTGCATGTCAAATTGTAATCCTGTGTTGGAGGTGGGGACCTGATAGGAGGTGATTGGATCATGGGGGCAGATTTCCCTTTGGTGCTGTTCTCATGATAGGGTTCTCATGAAATCTGGTTAAATATGTGTGGCACCGTTCCCCACTCCTGCTCTGGCCATGTAAAATGAGCCTGTTTCCCCTTTGCCTTCATCCATGATTGTAAGTTTCCTGAGGCCTCCCAAGCCATGTCTCCTGTACAGCCTGTGGAACTGCGAGGCAATTACACCTCTTTTCCTTACAAGTTACTGAGTCTCAGATTATTTCTTCATGGCAGTGTGAAAATGAGCTAATACATATTCAAACCAGACCAGATCATATACTGTATGATCATTGTATGACTCCATTTATATGAAATGTCCAGAATAGGTAAATCTATAGACATAGAAAGTATATTCATGGTTGCCTAGTGCTGGGGAGAATAGAAGGGTTGGGAGTTATCTTAGTCTGTTCCAGTTGTCGTAACAAATGTACCATGGACTGAGTATCTTAGGATTTCTTAAAGTTCTGGAGGCTGGGAAGTCTAAGATGAAGGCACTGGCATGATGAAATTTGAGTGAGAACCCACTTTCTAGCTCACAGATGACGGTCTTTTCATTGTGTCCTCACAAGGGAAAAGGGGTGAGTGATCTGTCTGGGGCCATTTTCATAAGAGCACGGAGCTCATTCATGAGGGCTATGCCCTCTTGACCTAATCACTTCCCAAAGGCCCCATATCCTAATACCATCACCTTAGGAGTTAGAATTTCAACTTATGAATTTTGAGGGTACACAAACATACAGACCATAGCAGAGGTCATAGCTAAAAGTTTTCTTTTGAAGGTGATAATATTCTAAAATTTATTGTGGTGATGGTCATACAACTTTGCAAATACACAACGCCAAATTGTACATTTTAAATGGGTGAAATATTATGGTATGTAAATTATATCTCAATAAATCTGTGGTGGGCCATAGTGGCTCATGCTTATAATTCCAGCACTTTGGGAGGCCAAGGTGGGCAGATTGCTTGAGCTCACAAGTTCAAGATCAGCCTGGGCAACATGGCAAAACCCCATTTCTACAAAAGATGCTAAAAAATTTAGCTGGATGTGGTGGTACATGCCTGTAATCCCAGCTACTTGAGAGGCTGAGCCCAGGAGGTTGAGGCTGCAATGAGCCAAGATCACACCACTGCACTCCAGCCAGGGTGAGAGTGAGACCTTGTTTCAAACCCCCTGCCCCCAAAAAACTCCAATATATCTGTTATGTTCTTATGTTTAAAGAAAGTCACTACATAATGAGAAAACATTCAAATCACCAGAGATTTGACAATTCTTAACCTGTATTCAGATAACAACTGAGTGTCAGAATATATAAATTAAAACTTGAAATAATAGACAAATATACGACAGTGGAAGCATATAAATTAGAAAAAGAATACATTTAAAGGGCTTACATTACCTGATTTTGAGATTTACTACAAAGCTACAGTAATCAAGACAATGTGTGGTTTTGGCAAAGGGATGGACTCATAGATCAATGGAATAGAAAACTGAGAAATAAACCCACTTAAACATAATCAATCGTTGACAAAAGAGCAAAGGAAATTCAATGGAGAAAAAATATGTTTTCTACAAATGATGTTGAAACAATTGGATAACATGTAAGTAACAATGAGCCTGGGGCTTTAACACCTTATATAAAAATTACCTAACAATGGATCATAGATGTAAGTGAAAAACATTATCATTAAGCTAGAAGAAAAATGAAAAATTTCCTAAACTTTAGTTAGGGATGGGCTTTTTTTTTTTTTTTTTTTTTTTGATACAGAGTTTTACTCTTGTTGCCCAGGCTGGAGTGCAATGGCACAATCTTGGCTTACCACACCTCTCCCATCTCCCAGGTTCAAGCAATTCTCCTGTCTCAGCCTCCCAAGTAGCTGAGATTATAGGCATGTACCACCATACCTGGCTAATTTTTTTGTATTTTTAGCAGAGACAGGGTTTCTCCATGTTGGTCACGCTGGTCTTGAACTTCCGACCTCAGGTGATCTGCCTGCCTCAGCCTCTCAAAGTGCTGGGAGTAAAGGCATGAGCAACTGCACCCAGCCAGGGATGGGGTTCTTAACTATGACACCAAAAGTATGGTCCATAAAAGGAAAACTTGGACTTCATCAAAATTTAAAGCCTTTGCTTTATAAAAGACACTGAAATAAAAATGGAATAAAAGAGAATAAAAAGACAAGCCACAAACTACACAATTAAACCAGGAAAACAAACAATAGAATTCTTTTAAAATGGCAAAAGATTTGAACATTTCATCAAAGATACACAGATGGACAATAAGCACAGGAAAAGATGCTCAGCATCATTAGTCATTAAGGAAATGCAAATTGAAGCCACAAGGAGATACCACTACACATCTACTACAGTGGATAAAATAAAAACAATGAGAATACCAGGTGCTGGCAAATTATGGAGCAACCACATCTTCATACATTGCTGGTGGAAAAACAAAATTAACCAATAATTCTGGAAAAGGCTGGCCCTGTGTTACAAAGATAAACATACACTTACTATATGACCTAACCGCTTCATTCCAATATTTACCCTTCAGAGATGAAAATTTATGTTCATACCAAAACCTACATATAAATGATTGTAGTAGTTTTATTCATAATCGACAAAAATTATAAACAACCTAAATGTCCTTCAATGGGTTAATGGTTAAGAATACTGTGGTACATTACAAGGAAAACCACTCATCAATAAAAAGGAATAAATAACACAACAATGATGAATATCAAAGCCTTTTACTCAATGCGAGGTGGGGAGCCAGTCATGAAAAAAAGCACAAGGGGAATTTGTTGGTGCAGTGGAATTGTTCTGTACCCGTTGTGGTGATTTTTACACAAGTCTACATAGGTCGTTTTAAGACAGAACTGTGGAAGGAAGAAAGGAGAAAGGGAGAAATAAAGAGAAAGGGGTGAAGGAGGAGGAAGATGCATAGGAGGAGGAGAGAGGGGAGGAGGAGGAGAAGGAGGAACTATTATAACCGCACACAATTACGGTGGTAGTTACAAGGGTAATATCTTCGTCAAACATGGCAAACACCTTTAAGTGGGTGAATTTTATTGCATACTTTGATAAAAGCTGATTTTGCAAAAGTTCAAAAAGTTATTTTAAAAGACTAGTAAAATAGACAAATCTCTAGAAACATGATCAAGGGAAAATGCGAGGCTACAAATAAGCCATATCAGGAAAGAAAAAAGGGACATAAGTTCAGATAGAACAAGTACTTGAAAATAAAAATGTTTTAAACATTTCGATAACCAAAAAGGATACATTTTTAGAAAAACCTACAATTTTCTAGAAGAAACCGTAAATCTAAATAGCCCCTAAAACCACTCAAACCACATATTACAAACATAATAATCCCAGTTTAACGATGAATACAGCAGAAATTCAAGGGACACAAACTCCCCCAGAGATGGGGGAAAAAAAATCACCAAATTGGGTAAATCCCAGGAATGCAAGGATTCTTTAACATCAGAAAATCAATGTACTTTACCACATTAATAGATTAAAAGAAACCACACGATTAGCTCAAAAGATACAGATTTTACCAGGATCCCAGAAAACTTATTTAAAAATATAAAAAGCCTCATTCCATCATATTCACAGTTGTTTCTATTCGGCTACACCGCTGTGGAGCATACATGACAGACATGTCCTCTTCTAAATGACTCTATCAATAGTACCTACTAGTTATATAGCACCTGATAGCTCACAAATCACATTGCATCCATTTTCTACCTAACTCTAGTCATTCTCAAATAGGCATTAAATTTTAAAACATATATCTATGAGGAAACAGATTTCAAAGGATGAAAGTGACTTGTCCCAAATCCCAATTATTTTCATTCTTTGTTGATTCTCTATATCATATGTCATATGGCAAATTAAAGTGAACAGAGAACCACATGTAGGTAATATATAACTGGAAAAAATATCCAAAATTCTAAGTCCAGTTCTCCAGTGCTTCTCATACATTTTTTGAACAAAAATACAAATTAAAAAAATTTAACCCTACGGTTTATATTGTTAGTCATATCTATCCTTCTCAAGTTTATAACCTACAATTAAATGCTGGTGTTTCCTCAATTTAAAAACTATAGTTCCTTCAAAGCTAGATGAAGCAGGCCAATAGTTTCTACCTATCAAATTAGAAGCTTATCTTCAGGAAACCAGTGAGCATTCCTTTTAGTACCTATTCCTAACTGGTTACAAATGACTTGCATATACCACAAACTCTTAGGTTATGTACCAAAAACCCTATATATACCACAACTTGATGTGTGATTTCAGTGTCAAGCACAAAAGTGTCACAGGAAAGGTGGAGTACTACCTTATCCTATTGCTCTCACTAAGTAGAGCTAAAAATCCTGGATATTATATACAAAGCAAACATAAAAAGGTTCTAAAAGATGGAGAGAGAATGGAGTGACTAGGGACCTCAGAACTCAAGGAAGAATACAGCAGTGACTTTCTTGGGTTTTCTTTTTGCCTAATCTATCCCAGACTGGGTTCTGACAGAGAAGCTGACAACCTGGAAATGCCAACAGACACCAACAAGGGAGAAAAAAAGGCCAAGACAAGTCTGGTTTTTTTAGCCAAAGGACTGGGAAGGGAGCAGCCTAGCAAGACAGAAAGTCACAATCCTACTTCAAAGACCACAGAAGAAAGCTATGGTCCTATCCACACCAACAAAGGCCTATGTTTCCACCCTCACCAGGCTGTAACAAGGGTCCTCCATCCTCCACTTTTACCCTAAGGGTGTGGTTGAACAACCATTTGATAAAGAGATCATGAATGTGACTCATGGGTTTAGCAGCCCCATCAGAAGCCAGGAACATAAATGGGATTATACCAGCAGAGACACAGCCAGCTAGTACTAAAGGGGAGAGGAAAACAACAAAATAAAATGAAGGTAGGCTTTAGGGCTTCTTAGGTCATATAGAACCAGACTAGAGAGCCATTTTTCTATGAATGTGTTATTCTTCAAGAGAATGACACTGAAAACAATTCAGAGACCACTGGGAATACTTCCTGTTTCAAAGGGTGGAACCATCACTTTGGTTTTCAACAGGACAGAAAGGCTCCAGCTGAAGACTTAGAGGAAGAATTGCCCTGCAGAGGCTTAGGAGAGGGGCCACCTGGCAGTACCACAGAGATAGGACCACTACTCCAGTGGGTCCAGAAGGCAGGGCATTGAGTAAAAGAGAGTTATTATCACAAGATCTGATGAAATGTAACCTCTGAAGAATTTGCCTTACTAAGTTCTGGACTTGCTCAGGAACCACTCCTCCTCCTACTTTCCTATTTCTCCCCCTGTGGAATGGGAATGCCTACATTACGTCTAGATCACAAATGTATTTTGGAAGCATGTAACTTCTTTGGTTTCATGGGTTCACAGCTGGGGAGTAATTTTGCCTCAGGATAAAGAGGTACTCTTACTCAGGTAAGAGTACCTTGACTCTTACCCATATCTGATTTAGGTGATATTTACTTGAAGGTCTGGATTTTACAGCTAATGCTAGAATGAGTCAAGGTTTTAGGGGCTGTTGGAGTGGAATAAATATATTCTGCATTCAAGAACATAAATTTGGTGAGGGGGGGAGGCTGTGATGGAATATTATTAATTAGATGTATCCCCTCCTTCCCAAAATTATGTTGAAGCCCTAATCCCCAATATAATTTATTGGAGACAGGGTTTTTAGGTGGCAATTGGGGTTAAATGAGATAATAAGGGAAGAGTCCTAATCTGCTAGAACTGGTGGACTGATAACTGGTGGACTATTTCTCTCTTCCTCTCCCCATTGGCCCCCCATCTGCATGCACTACAGACATGGGAGGACACAACGAGAAGGCTGCCATCTGTAAGCCAGGAAGAGATCCCTCACTAGAAGCAGAGTCCGCAGGCACCTTGATCTTGGACTTCCCAGCCTCCAGAACTGTTAGAAATAGGTATTTTTTTGAGTCACCCAGTCAGTCTATGTTATCTTGTTAAAGCAGATTGAGCAGATTCAGGCAAAAATCATCAAGAAAAAATGAACAGAGCCTCAAGAACTTGTGAGACTACAACCAAACAGCCTTTCATTAGAGTCCCAGGAGAAAAGGAGTAGAAGGTGGGGGCTAAAATGTAAAATGTATTTAAAGAGATGATGGCTGAAAATCTCCCAAATTTGGCAAAAGACATAGCCTGTAGATTGAAGAAGCTAAGCAAACCCCAAATAGGGTAAACTAAAAGAAATCCACACCAAGATACATTATAGTAAAACTTCCTCAATATTAAAAACACTCAAAATAATGTGTCCAATAATCTTTAAAGTTTCAATGAAAAACGTATGTAGCTTCCTGCTTCACCTCCATGCCTCAAGTTATGGCGAAGAGCCTCCAATCCACTAGCACGATGTGAGGATCCGGAAACTGCCCCCACGATGGAAGAGGACCAGGAGCTGGAGAGGAAAGCAATAGAAGGAGGCAAATAATGATAAGCAATATGGGGAAAATTAGAGCTGAAACAATGGGACCCCTGGGTTGGATGAAGTGTCCTCTTGCTGGTACCAATAAAAGATTTCTAACTAACACAACTAAAAACACATTGCACTCTCATAAAGAACAAGACCATGAACGAAAAGAAGACAATAAGGAACCAGCAAAGAGCCACACCCAGAAAGAAGACCCAAAGAAACACAGAAGCCATCTTTACAAGCATAACTTCTGTGCTCAAGGTTATCAGTTGCTCCCCACCACAAAAGTGGAGCAGCCAGGACAAGTACAAAAAGTGACCCAATTGGTGGTGAGGCCGGAGCTAGGGCCAGCAAGCCCTGTGGGCTCTGTGCATCTTCAGGGGTGCAGTATGCAGAGAAGGTGTTAACTGGCAATGCAGATACCTGAGAGTGAATTTTACAGTAGGTCCTTTGTTGTTCTTAAAGAGGCTGCTGGTCATGGGCAAAAAGTGACCTAGCAACTCTTCTAGGAAACAAGTACAAAGGAGGATGTCTTGCCAATTTTAAGCTACATCTGCAGTGTAGTAGACATATGTATTGTTGCTAGTCTACCTTGTTTAGAAGTGTGTTTCAAAATAAACATGTCTAGAATTTTAAGTTTTCAACAAAAATTATATATATATATAATTGAAATTATATATATATATATAAAATTATGTATATATATATATATATACACACACACACACACACACACACATAAAGATGCCACCTACCTCTACCTAAGAGTAAAATGGTAAAAGGTATTTCAAAGTCTTTCCAAGTTTTTCATAATCTAATATATAGTGTCAGTGCAAATCTACAACTAAACTTTACTGTACGCTATAAAAAAATCTAAGGTACAAACTAGATAAAAATGAGGTAAATCTTTATAAATAAGCACATTCTCAGGCAACTCAGATACCTTAAAACAGTTTGAACACATCAAAGGTCTCTTCTGTACTCAATATTCTATGCTGTGGGTCTTGACCCTTGGAATTAACATGATTTATAGTAGGTGACGTCTCAATAAGCAAGGTCTGAAAGACAAAAAGGGCAGAAGCAAACACCCTGCATTATCCTGCAGCCAACATTCCTTAGCTGCAGGGTAAAGTTACCCTCACAGAAACTTTTCAGCTGACCAATTAGCAAGTCTAATATTTTTCATGGCTGTGAATATTCAGTTAAGTAGTTATCATAGTCAACATTTCTTGAGTTCGTTCCCCCAGGTCTTTTTTTCTATCCTTTCCCTCTACTTCCTTTGGCTCCTTAAGAATGAAGGACAACTTCCCTTCTTCCACCACTCCTGACTCTGGACAAACTCATTGTGAATTCTCAATCTCTTATTTCTACCTGTGCAACTTCTCTAAAAAGATCACTTATCTCTTTAAAACTTATATTCTTAGTATTATGAAAACACCTGGCACAGTCAAGATGTCCCCTTTCCACCATGCCACACCCCATTTCTCTCCCAAAGCTATGGTAATTTACATACACATTAGGATGTTACACATAATTTTTCTCTTTCCTGAGGGAAATTCAGTGTCCTCTGCCAGAACACTTTTAAAAATATAAAACTATACTTTCACAGTCTAATTATGCTACATCCCACATCAGCAATGATTTGTCAATATTTTTTTTTGCAACACAGACTTGAATTTCTTTGTAGACTCCCACAGCAAGTACAGTAAATGCTCAAAAAGTATGCTCTGAATGTAAACCACATTTACATGGTCTTTATCCAGTATGAATTCTCTTGAGTTGGCCAAAGGCTAAATGCTCACTAAAAGCTTGGACATATTCCTTGGTTTTCCCTCCAGCATGAGTTTTCTGATGTTGAGAGAGGGATGAACTCTGGCTGAAGGCTTTTCCACATTCCTTACACTTGTAGGGCTTTTCTCCAGTGTGAGTTTTCTGATGCTTTGTAAGAGATGAGCTCTGGCTGAATGCTTTTCCACAATCTTTACATTTGTAAGGTTTCTCTCCAGTGTGTGTTCTCTGATGACGAATAAGGGCTGAGCGGTCACTGAAGGCTTTGGCACAATCATTGCATTTATATGGTTTCTCCCCAGTGTGAGTTCTCTGGTGCTGAGTTAGGGCTGAGCAGTAGCCAAAGGCTTTCCCACATTCGTTACATTCATAGGGCCGCTCCCCAGTATGAGTTCTCTGGTGCTGAATAAGACCTGACCGATCACTAAAGGCTTTGCCACATTCATTACACTTATAAGGTTTCTCTCCAGTGTGAATGACCTGATGCTGGGTAAGAAATGTGCTTTGGCTAAAAGCCTTCCCACATTCATTACACTCATAAGGTTTCTCTCCAGTATGAATTCGCTGATGTTGAGTGAGGTATGAACTCTGATTAAAGGCCTTCCCACATTCATTGCATTCATAGGGTTTTTCTCCAGTATGAATTATATGATGCCGAATAAGGGCTGAGCGATGACTAAAGGCTTTCCCACATTCATGACATTCATAGGGTTTCTCTCCAGTATGAATTCTCTGGTGCAGAGTAAGGTGTATGCTCTGGCTAAAGGTTTTACCACATTCATTACATTCATAGGGTTTTTCTCCGGTATGAATTCTCTGATGCAAGACAAAAGCTGAGTAGTAACTGAAGGCTTTCTCACACTCATTACATTTCCAAGGTTTCTTTCCTGCACAAATTCTCTCATGCCTAATTATATCTGAGTTTTGTTTTAAGTTATTTTTAAATGAATCACAATGATGTAGTCTCTTTCCTTGCTGCTGAACAAGTAAGGACCTCCGAGTGCAATTTCTTCTAAATTCATCAAATTGGTAACTTCTCCCTCTAGAAGATTTCTGAGTGATAGCCTCTTGTATTAAATGTTTCTCATGGTTTTCCTGCTGACTCTTTAAAGAATCCTCACATTCACTGGAACCTTCCTTTGAAAATCTTATGATTAACACCCCAGGGGCTGATTCTTCTTCAGAAATCTCCTTCTCTGGAGTTAGCTCCTTGCTTTCTGGTATCATTTCCCAGTCTGAAAGAAGCAAAAGTACACATGTAAATCATTTCCTTCACTGAGAGAAAAATAACTGCTGTGGTAGGAAAATAATGAGACAAAGAATATTTACACATGAACTTGAAAGCTCTCAAAAATAGTCTTGCAATCTTGAGAGAACACAAGAAAAAAAGATGATTGGGCAAAGAAGTACAGCTGCACAAAAGGACAGTGTGTGTAGGTACTCAACATTCCTCTTCTCAGCAGGATAGGAAATTACAAAGAATAACAGAATAAGACTAAGAAGAGGTGATGTTGGGAAATACCAGATTTTTAAATAAAGGATTTAGAGAAGACAGGGCTAGGATCAGAGAAAGATGGTCTTCCAAAGACTCACTGTACCTATCTGACCAGCAGAGCCTTATCACTTCATGCCGAGAATGACCATCTTTAGCTCATCTCCTTGCTACCAATCTTTTCCTACTCCCATATGTCCCAACCACTACTAAAAGAATAATCTCTCAAAACCATCTCTCTTTTACAAAAATCTGTTGGTTCTAATGTCTCATGAGACACAAATTCTAGAAGCTAGCATTCAACATGGTCCAGGTCTACAAACTCAAATACCATAAAGCTTAGTACCTGGAAAGCAACTAATCACCTCTGATTGTTTACCATCACCCTAAACTCAGCAAACTGGAAAGAGTAAACCAGAACCAAGAAGAAAGAAAAAAGGAAGAAAAAAGAAAAAAAGGAAAGAAAGAGAAAAACAGCAGCGTGTTGGGAAAGGAAGGTTAAAACTTCATGTGCTCAGATTAGCCTCCAACCTCTCAAGATACCTGCCCTAAGTTCCTGGGCTTCCTAGTAAGGATTTGGGGGTGGGGGCAAAGCTTCATTGCTAAAAATGTGTAAATACTTCCAAGCCTAGATGGCCTTTAATATCCATGTCAATCATGTCTCTACATGAAATAAATTAATACAGTGTTCTCAATTAGATATACTCAGGGGAGTGCCTGGGGTTTTAAAGGACAAATAAGTAGAAGAGGTTTAAGGCAAATGGACTTCCAGCTAAGGGGAGTGGAAAAAATAAAGCCCCAAATGGTTGGGGAGGCAGGTAAGGGACTTGCCTATCTGATGTTAAGTTGAAGAACAGAGAAAGCAAAAGGTTAGGCAGGTAGACTAACAACAGCTTTGAAAGCAGGTAGAGGAATACAGAATTGGCAGAGTAAGGAACTCAATGGGCAATCTAGCAATATTATGCTGCCTCAATTTTATAAGAATAAAACTAAAGAAAGTATAATTAGCCAGTAGTCTATTGCAGTAATGCAGTTTGACGGAAGTAATAGGGTCAAACTCATAACATCTTTCAAAGAAGTTATTAGAACTTAATAACTATCATTTGCTTAGCATAAAGCCATTTGTCTCGGATTATTTCCTTATATTGTTATGTTACCATAATAATATAAGCTTTTTGTTCTCATTATCTCCATTTTACCATTGGGGAAATTCAAGTCACAGAGAATACAAGTCACCTGTTAAAGGTCACAAAGCTAATGAGTAGCTAAGATCACCTTTAAACCAAGGAAGTCTGGTTCCAAAGTCTACAGTCTTAATCATCATGCTATCCTGCCTCTGCTTAGACAGAGAAGGCAGCAAGGGAAAACCCAGAGATCAATTTAAAATGGCATCCTGCAAAGATAAAATAACACATGTAAACAATCCTGGTTTAGAGCCTTGAAACCAAGCAAGTTATTAACAAAAATGAAAATGTTGGTTTCATTTCACCTTAATTGGGAAAAAGAATTGGTGTGAAAGAATAGAAAGGCTGGGTGCAATGCCTCATGCCTGTAATCCTAGCACTTTGGGAGGCCGAGGTGGGTGGATCATCTGCAGTCAGGAGTTCGAGACCAGCCTGGCCAACATGGTGAAACCCTGTCTCTACTAAAAATTCAAAAATTAGCTGGGCATGATGGCACATGCCTGTAATCCCAGCTACTTGGGAGGCTGAGGAAGGAGAATCTCTTGAACCAGGAAGTGGAGGCTGCAGTGAGCCAAGATCACACCGCTGCACTCCAGCCTGCATGATGGGAGCGAGACTGCATCTCAATTAAAAAAAAAAGAGTAGAAAGTATTTACTTTCTAAAAAATCAAATTATAACTTTATAAACAGATCGCCATCCACAGAGTTGGGATGTGGCACAGGGGAGAGATGGGGACTTCAACTTTTCCATGGGTCTAGCAAAATCTGGATAGGCTCCTCTTCCACAAGCATTTCCATTGACCATCTGGGTTCTACAGGCACTGTTTCCAACACTCACATACCTGGACTGGCTGCTTTTGAGACTTCTCTCTCCAGCTCCTCCTCATGCTCCAACTGAGAGATGACATCAGGTGTGGAAATTGGAAGCCCTATTCATAGGGAAAGAAAAAGGAGTCAGTAAAGAGGTCAGTGTTCATCATTCCTCGGTCTTCAGGAATACAATAAGAGAGGGAGAGAGTGAGGTCAGTTCTCCATTTCTTTTTCAACACTGCTCAGGAGGTAGGAAGATTGATAGGGGTTCATTTGAATCCCATGTCAATTTTACCTCCTCCTATTTAAAGAATAAGCACCCATTCTCTTAAGAGTTGTTTTCGTTGGCACTTTGTCTCTAAATCCTTGGTCAAGGAGTAGAGAAGAAGGATGCTACAGGTCCATAGCATAAAGATGTTTATGTCTAATTCCACAAGGGTTAAAACTATATCCAGAAACAAAAGGCAGAAATTGTCTGTCTCAGGCTCTACTAGAATTAAAAATCATTGAATGTAAGGACCTTGGAGCTCCTAGGAATTGAGGAAGCCAACGTACCACACTGGGTAAATTCACAGGCATTAGGGGAGCCATCCTTACCCAGCAAGACCAGATTCCTAGGCTTCTCAGGCACATCTCCCTGAGGAGAGTTCAGCTGCCTCCACTGGGTGAAAGCCTCGGCCATATCCCTGACCATCAGTTCCTGAAAAACCAAACACATTGGTGCTTACCAATAAGCCTCCTTCCAGAGGCCTCTGAAGAGAGCTAAAACTGACAATACAGAAGGAGGAAGACAGGAAGGATAGAAGAGGACAGACAAAATAGCCTCAGCCACCCTTTCCAATACTAAGATTCTCTGGTGAATTTGTAGTCTACACACTCACACTTTGGTTCCAGGTAGCAGAACTGCATATTACCTGCAAGTAGGAGGGAAAGTACCTTAATGTAAAACTTGAAGGTATGCACTTCTTAGTTTATGTATCAATAAATTACAGAATTATAAAATTTGCTACTACTTACACAGGAAAAAGGGGAGAAAAATGTAATTACAAATTAAGTATTTTCCTTATGGTATACTTTTTAAAATATATGGGGTTCAATAAATTGAAGTATTTTTTTCTCTAGTTTTCCTTTCAAAATGAAATCAGTCCCACATATACTAAACATTAAGATGTTTCCTACACATTTCACAGAATATAAATTTATTTGTAAAACAGTATCTGAAGCCCAAATTATAAGTTTCCAGAGTGTTCTTGTCATTTTTCACAATGACCCTGATCAGTCTGTCCCCGTCCCCTAGTTGATGACATTCTTTCATCTGCTTGAAGTGTGTGTCTCATTCCCTTTAGCCCCTTTACACATCCTGCTTACTATTCCTGAATATTCTACCCACTGCACCCTCCTTTCAGCAATGTGAATCCTTCTCTCCCTTCAGATCTCAGCTCAGGTGTTACCTCAAGGGAAGCCCTCCCTGACTCCTAGTTATAGCACATGTTCCTTCCCTTCTCTTGGGTTGTACACATGGAGAGGATTTTGTTACTAACATAGGCTCCATAGGCGTAGAGGCCAGGTCTATTTTTGCTCACTGAAGCAGTGCTACTACTCGGCACAGTGTAGAAACCTGTAAATATTTGTGGAATATTTGATGAAGAAAGGAAGGAATTAACAATAATTAGTAGAAACAAGTTTAAATGGGATATTCTATAAAAGTGTGCATGGGAACAGAAGTGAGCAGAAGAACAGAAGTGTATCAAACATCGAAAACAGGAGTGTTTAGCCTAACTTTCATCTAGATGGCAGGTACAAAGTTTAGTTTGTTTACTAAAATATTGAAATAAGGGAGTAGGGAAGGTAATGCTCCTTTAAATCTGTTACTGCCGATAAGATAAATGTCTAATAATTTTTCAAATTCTGTTTTTCAAATTTCTATACAACTACAACTTAACTGAGATACAGTAAAATAAACCAGTCCTTGGGTTAGCAAATGAATCAGTTTTACCCCTCTTTAAACTACCACTTTGGCCACAGTCCCTTGACTATACATATGAATCGTACTGTTAATTTTGTTTATATTCAACTTTCTAACGTGTATTTCATAGTCTTCCAAAAATGACTGTAAAACAATGCACATAATGACATAAGTTAAAAGAACTACCTACTCTGAAAATCCTCTGCCCCAAATACACTTTTTGACACTAAGAAATCCTGTACTTTTAAGTTTAAGGTCCCTTATGGCCATATGCCTCAGGAATGATCAGCACAAGTAATATAAGGTGCACAATCTTCGTTCTTTACAAACAGTGCTAACACTAACAGACTAACAGGCAGTTGCTTTCAGACTTCAGTTCCCTGAGAAAACCTCTGCAACTCACTTAAGTGTGCATGTGCTGGGGCTGGAAGGCACAGGCAGGCAAATCAGACACTGTCAGCAGGTGCTACTGACTTTCTCTCCCCTCATCTCTCTAAAAGCGATCTACTAATTCACAGACAAACATCAATACTGGCATTTTCTCCCATGATTTTAAAAGGATCATCAGTACCTACAGGCCGTTAGGTCTGGTGTGACGGAGACAGAGTCCCAGCACCTGAACCAAAGGCCAGATCTTACAGAAGCATCTTTACTAATCTTCTCTTGCCAATCAGCTATGGCATGTATCATCTTGCTGGGCCTCTAAAAACCTTCATGGGGACTTCATTTGCCTCTGAAATAAGACCAAGTATAGATTGTCCTGGCGTCTGGGTACAACAGACCCAAGCTTCCCTCACCACAGTCAAGGTCACCCCACAGTGACTCACACATCCACACATCCTTAGAAGGCCTCCAACTCCCTCATCATTTAAATACTTTTTTTTTTTTCTGGCCAAAGCTGTTCTCTCTTGGAATATTCCTTTATTCTACCCTTCAACTACTCACTCTCTCTTGTTTTTCAAAGTACAGTTTTTATCCCACACTTTTCCCAAACAGATGATAAAAAAGCCTCTTTCAGAGCCATTTATGACTTGCCCGGACCAGTCATTTCTACGTTTAAAAAATATCAATTTCTTCATGTTTTATCTATGTATCTCTCACTGCCTTGGTAAACTCCACAATGCAACAGCAAGTGGCTTTTACTTCTTTGCATCTCACCAAGGCCAATTACAGTACTGAATGGCTAATAAGGGTGCAGCAAATACTCAGTGGGTACAGAGAAAGCAATGCTGGGAAGAAAGTTCTGCACAAATGAAAAGCACTTCCTGTGGGGTTCATCAGTCATCAATTTATCAGGATAAACCCAGTGGTCTAGGAATCAGGGCTGGCCAATTCCATAACAATGAAAGAAAACATATCCTTGCTCAGAGAAATGAAAGAAAAAAAGAAGAACATTTACTTGGGACCCAGAGGTCAGCAGCACAGCAGTCATGCCATTTTCTTTTGGGTTTCCAGCATGGAGAAGGTCTGAGTCAGCAAAAAGTGATCCTAGAAGTGGAGACAGGCGCCATGATGATTACTCTGCAATAAACGCGCAGCAAGTGCCACACACCAGCTACTTGTCATCTAAGAAGAGTCAACACAGGGAACCAAAAGGCAATCGCATAATATTCTTTAATCAAGACAGCCTTGACCATTGCTGCCTCAGGCTCCTCCTGTCCTCCTCTGCCCTTAAACTCTAGCAGAACTGCTATGAACATGTGGACATATAAACATATTTTTATCTTGTATGTGCTAAGTAGTCAAAATAATACTCAAATTCTTTGTGTGTCCATTCCTCACTTAGTGATTGATCCTTGTTATATTCCAGACTCACAGGATGAACGAACACTAAATTCTTTTTGAACACTGGCTTTTCAGATATTAATACAATACTGCCTGACTCAGAAAGTGATGGGTCTTGTGGAAAAACCACCACCACCAAAACCAAAACAAGATTGTAAACAAATTCCGTGACTTCTCAAATCCCCGTTTTCCCTACCTTTCAAAAGGGTCAGTTAGTCCCTTCCTACTGCCTTACAGGGTTCCTCTGAGGTCAAAAAAGAAGTCATTATCGAAAGCCAAATTGTTAGATGTGTTGGGATTTTCCCTTGGGCAAGGGAGGCATCCAGCGCCCTACAGACCAGGAGGGCAACGGAGGTGGCGTCTGTCCCTCAAAACCCCAAGTGAGACCGGCTAGTAGGAAGGAGCTCGTGATACTACTCCCTCCTGAGCCTGCCCCAGCCAGAGGCAGCCTTTCTCCCTCTCTAGCAGGTACCAAGGCCGCCTGACTCCCAAATCCTCACCTCTGCCCCCAGGCTCCATGACGACTCCTTCCTCGGGGCCCGCGGTGGGGGCAACTGGCGCTGGGGAACGGGCCGGGGGTCAGTCGCTCGGGTCCCCCCAGAGGCCCGGAACGCAAGCGCGACCCTCGCCGAGCAGCCCGGCGCCCGCACCCGGGGGTTCTTCCCGCCACCCTCCCGGGCCCTTAGAAGAGGATGCGCTCAGTCCTCCTCGATCCTGGGTCCGACCTCCAGCCAGACACGGAGGAAGCCAAGCCAGACGACAAAGGCATCTAACAGTCTGCAGGGACACCTCGCGCCGGCCTGCCGAGAGGCCGAACTACCACTCCCAGAATCCTCCGCGGGGCGCGGCTGGCAGCCCCCACCCCCAACGCCGCTTCCCAGAGGACCCCGCGGTCTCCGCGCCCGGGGCTGCGTTTGCTGCAGCGGCTCGCGCTGGACCAGTCTGGAGGAGCGCTCGCTTGTTCGTGAAGCCCTGCCCACTGCTCTCGAAGGGCCGCTTCTCCCTCCGTGCCGACTGTGGGCGGTGGCCGCGCCAAACATCGCCCGGCGTGGGACTTTTGCATCCCCGCTACTGTGACGACAGAAGGCGGCGCCCCAGACCCACGCAAGATCCCTCCCTGGCTGCGTGCGATGCTCCCTCGGAGGGTAGGTGTCCCGCGGTATCCCCGCTGCTGCGCCTCCACGCATCGTACCTTCCTGGCCTGCACAGAGGTGATCTCAGTTTACTTCCGATAACCAGGGATGTTTGTTCCAGACTGCACCTCGGAATAAAGAAAAATGGAATTTCAATCCCGAAATCACTTCAAACCCCCCAAATAGCCAGGTCTCCAAGAAGAACCAGTAAACTAGTGCTGCTGCTCCAAGGAGGCTGAGCCTGAAGGTTTTGCAGACTCCTCCAGAGCTCTAGGGGTGGGCTGGTCTTCAGACTAGTGAGTGTTTTCATATACCTTCCCACGATAAAGTGCCAGGTTTCTGCCCAGTTTAGAAAGAGAAAACCTAATTAGCTTAGCTGTGTTCTTGTTTGGATACAAGCCAAAATGTCCAATTGACCTTTCTCCAACAGAATCTCCAATTTTTAGCTAGGCTTAAGGTTTCCCAAGGCTTCTAATTATTGCTCTCCTTTGCCCTCCCCGGCACCCCCCTGCCCCTGCTGGAACATAGTAAATCATCATGCGCTGTGTGGACTAGGTTAACACCCTAGGGATGGTAAACCAACATGATAGAAGGAACGGAGCTTGGCCTTTAGCATGAGAGATGCAAACTTCTATTTTGTATAAGCCACTATTATTTTGGGTTTCTTCTGCACAGATAACCACACTTAATCTCTAGCTGGTCCGTAGATTGGCTGCATTTGGTCCAGGCCGCTAGGGCTGGTGGGGATAAAGGACATGTGGTAGGGACACAGCCCTGCCAGCTCAAATGACAGCCTAAGGGAGTCTCCCCGCCCTTCATTCCGCAGGAGACATGGGATAGGCAGTTTCCTTCAGAAGATGCTTCATATGAAAGACACCACCCCCTGATGTTTTGGAAACCCCAGGGATAAGGTCTAGGCACTGCAGCTTGCTGCACAAAAAAGCCAATCACTGAGAGGAGTATTGCCAAGGAAGAAGGCTTTAATCAGGTGCTGCAGCCAAGAAGATGGGAGACTAGCTGCAAATCCATCTCCCTAACCTACTAAAATTAGGGGTCTATATAGCAGAGAAGAAATGTAACTGTGTAGGGGAAAACAGGACTAGGGAGGATTAAGGAACCAGTCATGAAGAAAGACGGATCTGGTGTATCTTTGTCTGGATGCCGTCATCTGGTGTGTTTCAGTTCTTTTTTTTAAAATCAACTGCTCTCTCAGAATCATCTTTTGATACTTTCTTGAGGAGCCCTAGGGTCTTTACTGAGGAAGGAACTAAGATAAAACAAGTATAAGTTTCAAGCTTTAAGACCAGAGAGTCTGTGGTGGGTTCAGGCCTTTTGTCTCAGCACTTTGGGAGGCCGAGTCCGGGCAAGACAGATGGATCACTTGAGGTCAGGAGTTCCTAACCAGCCTGGTCAACATGGTGAAACCCATCTCTATTAAAAATACAAAAATTAGCCCGGCATGATGGCACACACCTGTAATCCCAGCTACTTGGGTGGCTGAGGCAGGAGAATTGCTTGAACTGGGACCCAGGAGACAGGTTGCAGTGAGCCAAGATTGTGCTACTGCACTCCAGCCTGGGCGAGAGAGCAAGATTTCGTTTCAAAAAAAAGTAAACAAATTAAAATTAAAACACCAGAAAGTCAGTTTCTTTGTTTATCCAAAATAAGGTCTGTGGGTCTATTGGGCTGGTTTCAATGTGTCTAGAGAACCCCTTTCTTCTTATTGCTAACCGTCCCCATCACAGATATCTCTCTTTTTTGTTACCAAATCAATTGTCAGTCCTCATCTCACTCCATTAACATCAGGTGATAACACTTGGCTACTCCCTACTCCTGGAAATACTCTGGTTTTCTTCCTCCTTGACTGGTCACTCTTTCTCAATCTCATTAGTTATTTTGTCTTCTCATCACCTCTAAACCAATGTTTTCCAAACGACAGTCATGCATCACTTAACAACCAGGATACCCTCAGAGAAATGCATTCTTAGGTGATTTTGTTCTTGTGTGAACATCATAGAATGTATTTATGAGAACCTACACTGTACCACCTATTGCACACCCAGGCTGTATGGTATAGCCTTTTGTTCCAAAGCTATAAACATACAGCTAGTGAATTATATGGTGAATACTGTAGGTCATTGTAACACAATGGTATTTGTGTATCTGAACATATCTAAATATAGAAAGGATTCAACAAAAATGCAATATAAAAGATAGAAAATGGCACACCTGTATAGGGCACTTACCATGATGGGAACTTGCAGGACTGGAGGTTACTTTGTTACCAAAACACCAGGGTTTGAGTCTAGGTCCTGCCACTCATAGCACAGGAAGCTGATGATTAAAACCATAATCTCACAGCACAGGAAGCCAATGACTGAGATGATTATCAGGTGCTGCAGCTGCGAAGATGGGAGGTCAGTATCAGATTCATATCACTGACCCACTGAAAGTAGGGATTTATCTGGCAGGGAAGAAATGTAACAATGTGTGGGAAAATAGGAACTCAGGACAGGTAGGTTAGCACTCATGATGCATGTGGTGCCTGGTGTCTCACTGTTTGGATGCGGTGATCTGGTGAGTTTCCTTTCTTTGATTTTTTTTTTTTTTTTTACATGGAGTTTTTTTTTGTTGTTTTTGTCTAGGCTGGAGTGCAGTGGCGTGATCTTGGCTCACAAGTTATTTTATTTTTTTTCCGATAAACATAGAAAGTGTCCATTCTAGTCTGAAAGCTTGAAACTTCCGTTTGTTTTATCTGAGTTCCTTCCTCAGGAAAGAAACCCCAGGCCTCTTAAAAAGTATCAAAAAGGCTGGGCGCAGTGGCTCATGCTTGTAATCTCTGCACTTTGGGAGGCCGAGGCAGGTGGATCACATGAGGTCACAAGTTTGAGACCAGCCTGGCCAACATGATGAAAATACATGTCTCTACTAAAAATACAAAAATTAGCCGGGCATGGTTGTGCACACCTGTAATCCCAGCTACTGGGGAGGCTGAGATAGGAGAATCGCTTAAACCCAGTAGGTGGAGGTTGCAGTGAGCTGAGATGGTGCCACTGCACTCCAGCCTGGGTGACAGAGCAAGGCTCTGTCCTCAAAAAAAGAAGTTACCTTTTCTTTCCTCTAAGTCTTAGAAAAAGTTTCCCTTAGCTTACTATAAATTTTTTACTTTATAAACTTTTTAATTTGTTTAACTTTTTCGACTTTTGTAATAACACTTAAAACATAACACATTGTACAGCTGTCAAAAATATTTATTTTCTTTGTATCTGCATTCTATAACCTTTTTTCTTTTTTAACATTTCTTATTTAATTTTTTTTTGTTAAAAACTAACACACTTTAGCTGGGTATGTGGCACGTGCCTGTAATCCTAGCTACTGAGGAGGTATAGACAGAAGGATGGCTTTTAGCCTAGGAGTTCCAGCTATAATTTTGCCACTGCACTCCAGCCTGGGTAACAGGGTGAGACTGTATCTCAAAAAAAAAAAAGCAGAAAGGGAAAAACTAAGACACACGTACACATTGTCCTAGGCCTATGCAAGGTCAGGGTCATCAGTATCACTGTCTTCCACCTTCACGTCTGGAAGCTCTTCAAGGGCAGTAACATGCATGGACCTGTCATCTCCTAGGATAGCAATGCCTGCTTCCAGGATACCTCTCGAAGGACCTCTCAGAGGCTGTTTTACATTAACTGTTTTCCTTTTAAGTAGGAGTATACTCTAAAATAATGATAGAATGTATATAGTATAATAAGTACATAAACAGTAACATAGTCATTTATTATTAGCAAGTATTATGTACTATACATAATTGTATTGCTGTACTTTTACACAACTGATAGCACAGTAGGTTTGTTTACACCAGCATCACCACAAGCACGAGTAATGTATTGCGCTAATGGCTACAGCATTACTAGGCAATAGGAATATTTCAGTTCCGTTATAATTGTGTGGAACCACCATCATATATGTGGTCTGTCATTGACTGAAATGCTGTTTTGTGGCACACAATTATATCATAATCAAAATCATCTGAAAGTCTTGTTAAAACACAGTGCTGAACTCCACCCCCATTCAGGTGGTCTGAGGTGGGGCCTGAGAATTTATGTTTCTGTCAGCTTCCCAGATGATGCTGAAGCTGCTCATCTGAGAACCAACCAAATGTTGAAATGCCCCAGAGCTCAGGCCTTGGGCCTGTCTTCTTCCATCCACACTAGAATAGCAGTGCCTACTCTTAGGTGATCTTGTTTTACCCACATACTGTAAATACCATCCAAATGTGGTCAGCTCTCAATTTATATCTCCAGTTTGGGCTTTTCCCCTGACCTTGAGCTATCTCCTCCACCTCTTCACTTGATGTTTCATAACCATCTCTAATGTAGCATGTTCAAAAGTGAGCCTCTGCTGTTTCCCCTCCCCCACTGCCAAACCTCTTCCCCCTGCAGTTTTCCCCACCTTGGCAAATGGCAGTTTGATCTTTGGTTGCTCAGTTCAAATACCTTGGACTCATCATTCTCTTTATCTCACGTTGCACATGCAGTTTCTCAGAAACTTCTGTTGGCTCTACTCTCAAAATACAGGCAGAATCTAATGACATTTCACCACCACCACGACCACCACCACCCTGGTTCAAATCATCAACTTTGCCTGAATCACTGCAAATGCCTGCTAACTAGTCTTACCCCTTCTACTCTTGTCC